AACCAGTCTCTCATTTTCCAAGGTTGTTCTCCACTTGATTCTTCGCTGTCGCACTTTATTTGATCAATAACGAGATGCAACTCCCTGAAATTCAAAGCGCACCTCTGATTGATCTCCCTGGGGTTGGTTGGATCATCGGTTCTAGCAATGGCTTGCTCTTGCTCACTGTCGCTCTTAATAATGCATATCGCTCGATCTTATTGTGGAATCCAGCAATTAGGCAGATCAGGCTGGCGGCTAAAGATTTTAATTCTTTTCAGATGGGATTTGGGTTCAGTTCAACTGTTAGCGACTGCAAGATTGTGAGTATTAGAGTTTCTGATTCGTTTGTTAATCAAGTAGAAGTTTATTCATTGAACACTGGGCAATGGAACGAAATAGAATCTGGGAACTTAGATGGTGTATGCATTGAATATGGCGGTTATAGTACTAATGGAGCTATCTTTTGGTTTGGGTTTAAGCAAAATGTGGACGAGGGGTTGGAAACTAACATTCATATGACATGGCGATGGAAGTGTTCTCGTTGATATCGTTACCAATTTCAGCCCCTATATTAGTTGGTCCCTATAACACCAGGCTTACTGTGCATGAGAATAAGCTTGCTATGATTTCTCACAGTGAGACTGACATTGGAAAATATGAATCTTCTTTGAGTTTTTGGGTGATGGAGGAGGGTACAGGTACATCTGGAAGAAGATGGAATTGGATTAATAAATATAGTATCAGCCACCCTTGCTTGATATATCCAGGGACTATTTGGAGGGACAAAATGGTCTGTAAGAATGTTGCAATCTCTTGGTGTAGGGAAACTGGATATAAAGTGAATGATGATGAAAGAAATGTGGTTATGGTCAATCTCACTACCAATGAATTTCAGGAGTTTGGTATTCGCAAATTTCACATCACTAGTCGTATTTTGAATCATGTGGAAAGCCTTGTGCCTTTGGGCAATGGTCACTGCAATGAAGAGCTTTGATTGTAAATCTTAACTACCATATTGCACATTTACTTTAAGCTATTTTCCTTGAGAAGAACCCACAATGATTATGATCATTCTGTCTCAAACGCTTTTTGTCGTTTAGAGATTTTTTTTCTTCAATGGTGTGTAAATATTCAAAGATACGGCTCATGTGCAGTGAGAGACTTTGCAGTGAGCATGAATTTTTATTTAATGACTAATAAAAATCAGTATGAAAAGATTTCTCGTTTACAAATACACAATTACATTTATCTAAAATAAAAATTTATAAAAAATATCATATTTTTATAAGTCTATTATAACTAATTTGGACAATACAGATTTTATCTAAATAATCTAATTTAATATTATTTTTTATTTTTTTATAAATTAATTATCAAGGTATACTCTAGACAATTCAAATTTATTTTTGGTTCACATTTAAAATTTTTAACATGTAATTTTTTAAAAAATATTATTTGAAAAGTACTAGAAATATTATTTTTATTTTTAATATTGTATTTATCAAAATAAAAAATTATAAGGATTATACAAAATTTTAATATTAACTACAAACTGTCCAAAGTACATTTAATAGTTAATTTATAAAAAATAAAAAAAATTAATATTGAACTAGATCATCATATAAAATTCATATTGTCTAAATTAATTATTAATAAACTTAGTAAAAATATTATATTTTTTATAATTTTTTATTTTAAATAAAATTTGATTGTGTTTGCAAATGAGAAACTTTTTATACACTTATTTTTTTACTAGCCACTAGACAAAAATACATGGTCAAGATTTTCTACTTCCCATCCACCGCACGGTCTCCCATTGCACATGATCCGTATCCAAATATTCAATGCCAGGTGTTTGTAGCTTTGCATGACTGTCTCGTCAATAATATATTCTCTCCTAACTTTTTTTAAAATAATTTTTAATTTAAAATATAAAATATTTTAATAATTAAATTATTTTTTTTAATTTTTATCCTTTTAATTAGTGTAAAGATATTTAATGTAGTTATATTAATATTTAAAGTTAAAGATAAAATAAAATATATCTTACATTTTACAATATTAAAAAAATTAATTTTTTTTTAAAGATACGTCAAACGACTAACAGTGTCCTATAAATGGCCGGAAGGATTAAGTTCACTTTTTCTTCAAAAATGGATATATTATATTATTATTTAGTTGGTCTGGCGTGGATTTTTGGAGACATTTTGTCCAGGTAATAGACCAATGATTTTTAATTACAATGGTTTATGTAAATAGTTTTCTAGCTTACCAGATGTCGTGTGCTCTTTGGATAATTAGTGGAGTAGGAAAATATTTGCTCTTGAGATTTTTGTGAAGTTCACTGTACAAAGTCTATGTTAATCTTTAATTTGCTATCCATTCAATTTCATTTTTTTTTTTGGTCTTACTTCTCGGTGTCTAACATAAATTTTTTATCGTTTCAATTTCTTCTACGAGACTTTTCATGTTTTTTTTCCCACTCATCACCACTTAATGCATACAACACCTCTTGATGTCTAACAATTTTTTTCTCTGATTTGCGCTTGTGAGGATTTAATACAACACGGACTTCAAACCAGCTTTAAATATAGGCAGAATTACTTATAAAATCATTCAACAAAAATATAAAAGTTCTTAATTTTTTTCCAAAGAAAAAATTCAAGAATTTTAATCTTTAGGGGTTAAAATGTTTAATTGATCAAATTTTAAGGACTCAACTCAATTGAAACAAAATAAATTGTAAGGATTTAACTTAAAATTGAGAAAAACTATAAAGATTTGTGTATATATTGCTTTAATAATGATAATGATAATGATAATGTGTAAAAAATAAAGAAAAGAGAAGTAATGAAGAATGAATGAGTGAATGAAGCAGGTGGTGGTAGCTAAGGAAGAGGATCAGAAGACAGACAGAAATGTGGAATAATGGCGAATGGTCCTTTTCCCATTGACCATAATGGATCAACTCACCAAACGCCTTTTCTACATCCTGTCCCTCCTCTGGATGAGGATACACACACACACACATACACACACATATATATGGGAAGAGAGATGGACCCACCCAATAATGAAATTCATACCTGCATTGTTTCATTCAAGTTGCTTAGAATCCCCCGGTTCGATTGAAACCACTAAAGTTCGAGGAATTTTGAAAGAGCATTCAAATTACCGGTTAAAAAAAAAAATAAAATATACTTGAAAAGATTATCATATTTAATACTCGATAATGTTTTAAATATGATTGTTTTCGATAAGAGAACACCTGGATATAATAAGGAGATGGGAATAGGTCAAATTAAATCTTTGTAGTCCTAATTGTGTGTGTATAAAGTGGAAAGGGGATTTTTGTTAAAACTGATGATGCCATGAATCTATTATTTGAGATTTCGTTTAAAAATAAAGATTGTATTTACTCATGAGTCTAAAATTTGAACTGTTCATTATAATTTTGAATTTTGATAGTCCCAATCTGGAATTGACATCATTATCAAGTGCATAGAAAGTGCAATTGGGGGCAAAATAAGAATCAACGTAGGTAATTATATTTTGAATAGAAATGGATCACACTATGTTATAAACCAGATTTCCAATTCTGAGAATAAAAATGGTTTGGTTTTCTACAGTCCAGCAATTAAAAGAATGGATTGAAGCTTGTGTGGTGCATGCAAAGGTGTTCATTCGGTTATTCCATTATTAGTTCGCTAACCTTAATTAGAGTTTCAAGATAGGGATAAATTCATCAATCAAATTTATATTTGGATAGCCACATATTTATTGTGTAAAAGATATATACACATTAATTGGATGCTCATGATGAGGTAGTTTTTCATGATTAAATGTCGCGAGACATGAGTTTGACCATTAGATTCCTGATGTAGACATGGTCATGGATTATCTATTCAGAGATGAGCAACTCAACCCTAGTTCAAATTTATTCTTTTCTCTCCGTGAGAATCTAATGAAGGATGCTATAAGTTTTCTTTTCCTTTTTTTTCCCTTTTACAAACAATTTGAAATTTTTGCTTAGTGTATATTAAATGGAAAATAAAATTTGGGGTTCAGCAACCCTAGTACCTCCAAATTCATCATTGGGAGAATCATTAGTATCTAGTATTGCTAATTATAATTTTAGTTTTGAAACTACAAAAAAGCACTTTTAATATAGTTTTTTTTCTATATTCAAAAGACTCAAAATAGTAATTATGATTGCTTACTAATTGAATTGGTTAACATATTGGTTTAAATGTTAATAGTCAAAATTATAGTTAATTATAATCAGACTAATTATAAATAAAATATTTTATTAAATTAGTTAAGACACTAATTCAATTGATCATGTTGATCTAATTTTCAATACCACACTATTAATACAGTGTTGTTTGACTTGAGAGAATAGCCAACACCACTAACACATTCAATAGAAGTGCAATTTTTATTTTAATTATGATCCCTTAGTCTCAAACTTAATTAGTATTTGCAGTTGATTTATGACTTTCTACTCCGAAAGTAGTAGAAAATGGTGTGCTTCAACTAGCTTTGTAAAAGAATACATTCAATGTTCCAATAATCAATTTGAGCAAACACCAGTAATCATTGCCTCAGAAACTTCAAATAACTAAAACTTTAGTCCTTGATCTTCCTATTCCATCTTTCTTTCCCTTTCAGATGTTATTTAATTATCCTGCTAAGTATATCGTGTTTACTTTATCTAAGAATCATATATAGTTGAGCAATTCCTGAAATGTAGTTGAACATTATGACAAATTATAAAAAGGATTCCTTAAACAAAATTGTCATTTTGAACTACGGCTACAGCGAAACTAACAAATGTATGCATGGATTGTCCTGTAACATTTACCCATTATTATGATGTTCAACTTTTGGTATTTATTGATTCTCCGGGAATGGATTGAGTTAGATGAATAGAGAACCTAATGTTTCATTATTCCTTTTTGTGATTTGTACTTAGTTGCCTTTCATTTAACTAGAAACATTGCGAGAGGACTTGAATGTATTATAAAGTACTATCCTTATCTAGCGAAACAATACAACACTTGGAGCTACAGTGCAAATCAAAGCATTACATGGAAGATGACTGTATCTGTAAGAAAATAAGCCCCAAAATAATATATGTTTGATGTTTGCTATTTATATCCTGAAGTCTGACTTGCCCTTGGGCATGCATGTTCATCCAAATCTCAGTCATCAAACCTGTAACAACACCCAATCTTGTCAAATTCCTTTCAAGGGTATAAAGAATGCAAATAAGCTGTCTGTCACAGATCTTATGAACTATAGACTAGTCCAAGTTGAAACTACATTAGATGATTAAGGAGTTTGGATTCCCTCCATTTAGGTCCTGTTTCGTAAAAAGAGAGCGAATTTGAATCCAAAACATATTTGGCACAGTCGGGAAAAAGAGAAAGAATCATGTTTGCTTAAATGGAGGCATCATGTTCCCTCGCCAAAATGAGAGGCTTCTTTCCCTTAAATGAGGAAAGAGCTACCTAACCAGCACATGCTAAACAAGAGAAATTTTTTTAGGAAATGATAGTAAATTCTTAAAAGAGAAATTAATGACAATTAGGTCTTCCACAAATTTTTCTGAAAAATGAGTTGTAAATATTAATTTAGACATTTACAAATATAAACCTCAATTACAAACAGAAAATTACATTTATAATTTAAATATTTTATTTACAATTAAAACCTCTGAATTTGCAATTATTTGAATTGATGTGCATAACTTATTTTTTTAGAAAAATTTACCAAGGACCTAAATTTTTATTAATTCTTTCTTTTGAGACTTGACTATCATTCTCCTGGATTTCTTTCCTCTCACTAACTTCACTTAGGATGTCTTTTTTAAGGCCAAAAGATCTCAATAACAGTCAGATTATATTTAAGTATGTTAAAGATTTAAGAGAGAAGAGAAAGAAGGGATGTCCAAACGTACACTGTTATTCTCCCAACGTCCTCTGCAACTATAAAATTGCGACATCTACACCAAGGGCTAGCTGAACAGTCTTTAAACTCGCAGTATAGACACAACTCCTGCAACCATAGATATTGACTCAGTAATTCATTCAAGAAAAAAATTGGGACAAGAATTATAGTCTTGAGATCATCCAATAGAAGTGCATGACATGAGAGCAATTTTATGGTATTCTTCACTTTGAATAAAACAAGGATCCGTAAGGGTGAAAAGAAAAGAAGAACGAACCTGCTGAAGTGATAAAAAGCCTCAATACTCAATATTAAATATCAAAAAATCTCTGAGAACTCTTTTGAATGAGCTAATAAGAAGAAAATAAAAGAGAGACAATAAAAGATGATGCATGATATAAGTATCATCGTCTTACAGTCAAATGTTGTCCAGCTAGTGGGAGGTACAGTTACGGTGTCCTTCTTATCACCATGGATGCCAAACATGCTGAAAAAGTCAGCATTGCCATTGTTTACCGGGGAATTGTCAAAATCAAGTGATGGGTAGTGCCTCCTTACTGGAGGAGGGGTGGTACTTTTTGGAATGTCAAGAGAACCCTGAATTGAAAAGTGAAGCTTTAATAGTGTAATCCCATGATGTGTCGTAGATACTGGAGGACTAGAAAAACTTGTCGCATAATAGAAATTAAAAAAAAAAAATCAAAACAATCATAGCAATGAAGTTGTGATCTGATACTTGAAAATATTTCAAATCACAAACCAGACATCTCTGAGAAGAGAAATTCTAATAGGTCGTATTAAATGGTTAGGAACTTCATTGGGTGGCACTTCAAGATAAAGCCAATAGATCCAAAACCAAATCCTTCAAAAACAAAAAGGAAAAGAAATACAGTCCACATGCTTCCCAAGGACATCATGCAACAAAAAGGCACCTGCTATACCATTGTACATCCTATTATATAAATAACACATCCCTTGGAACATGTATTTGTGTAGTTAAAAGCCAAAGAGGTCATTCTTTATCAAGGATTGAATAGACTTTATGGAAAACACAGTTACCCCACGATGTCTTGTCACCGGAGGCAGGATCTGTTCCATGTGGCTTGTGAGAATGCTTTCCTCAAGAGAAAGTCTCCTATTAGCCCTTGAAAAGCCAACCTTGGGACCAGCTGGTGGCACATTCAGATTCAGATTACAGATTATTTCACCTGCTTTTGAAGCTGGATTTACTCCACCAATTTTAGCCCACCTTTTCTCCACATACCTAAAAGATCCTAAGCAATTTGAGAACAGAAGAATCAAAAGGTAGATGAAGATTTAATCTTCCCAGTTTGAAGTAATATCTTGTGAAAAAAAATTATATTAAAAGTTTACTTGGAACAAATAAACTTCTCGAGCCCAAAGCCAATTCTATCAAAATTTGGTGGCAGTTCTGCTTCCCAATACGCATTTGACTTCTCATTACCCATGACTGTGTTAAAGATGAAAATTAAGAAACAAGCTCAGTCGTGGCTTTGTTTGAATAACCAAGGTGCCATGTAAATCTAGCAGCCAAATAGTCAGAGGAAAAGAAAGCAACCAAAATTGCTAACAATTTCATCTGTTTTACAAGTAATCAGTTTTAACAATCAATTAATATAACCTTATAGAAGAGGCATAGCAGCGTACCAATGAATATGGGTATGAAGCTGACCACTTGTACATACATTTTTGTAATGAAAATGTTTTGACGAAAATGTATTTTAACCATAAAGTCTACTTAAAAAGAAAGCAAAAGGCAGCCTGTGTAATTTCTTACATTGCATGAAAGAGACTTGTTCTGGCAACCATGTATCCAAAGTTGTAGAACGCACCTAGTTGCAAAATCAGAAGACTCAACCATAATCAGTATGTATGCGGACAGAAAAGGGAATATGTATGAAAGAGCAATGGCAAGGGGGTACAGAGTTTTCTTTTCTTCTTTTGAAGCACTGGCATGGCAGGAGCATGAGTACATAAATGAACTCTCCAAGAAACCAATAAATGCTCAAGCTAGAATATACAGCATAAATCAGCCAAAAGTTGATCACTGAGGGAAAAATTATGGGTTTAGCACATTCAACAACCTCGTTGTCATACTAACGTATCTTGCATGTCTAAACTTTGACAACTAGCCCACTAAGGAAAGAAAATGAATAAATATGCCTGCAAGCTTCTCCCTTCTCAAAATATGTAAGAACTATTATCACACATAAAACATGCTGCATATTAATAGTAGTCATCTAACAGTCTGATACAGAGTATGCATTAGTTGACACCTTAGACAATAGTAGTTGAGGCGTATGGGACACAACTATGGCTGATCCAGGAACAAAAAATCCAGATATTGCTATCACCAAATTGACCCACTAAATGTATGCATCAACTTCTCATAAAAAGTTAAAAAGAATAGTTATTAGGTAGCAATAATTCCATCTCTGCAGTCACGACATTGTATACAGCATGAGTGCAAACATCAGGGACATCTTGCATTTTACTAGCAAAATCCACTACACGAAGCAGAACATGTCAAGATAAAGGAAAGTGATAAAACCTTTGATATATGCACCCCAAGACTTCGGTGAATTCCTGAGCACTGCATGCATATGAAAATTCCTAGATTCACACTTGCCCATCGTGGTGCCCTGATAATGAAGGTATATGTTCCATGAACCATGAATAAACTTCATTAAGTTCTATGTTCTATGCACCTATTTACAAAATCAAAACTGAGCTTCACATAGAAAGAAGCCCACTGGTATGGTTAAATGATATAATGACAATGACAATGCCAAAGGGAAAAAAAAAAAGTCAAGTGAACACATCTTTTTACTTCTGTTGGCACAAGCTAAAGACCAAAGTTTTGGAAGGACCTGACCTTAAATCAAAATTTAAAATTATTTATACTTTTATTTGGTATAAAATTCTATCGGGTATCATTCCAACAAGAAATGTGATTGTTCATTCCCTTCACAAGGCACATCTCCTTATATTGCACTATCTTTACCACCTTGAGTTCATTATCCGTACCGAAACAGCAGTTGCTTAAGTAAATTTTCTCATGATATTAGTTTTTTAAAGAAAACTTACAGATGGCACCAACTGAGTGAATAAACTGTGGTAGAGCTAAAAGTCTTATTAAAACAACCATGAAGTAACCAGATTTGTAATAAACACACATTTATCAATACACACAAATATGAGTAATCGAACCAGAAAATTAAGAGCAACAAGTACATATGTACCACACAGAAAATGTCCATGAGGATAAAACATACAAATTTAGAAATGTATGTACGTATAGGTGTATGTATGTATGTATGTATGTATGTATGTAAATAGGATTGATTTCCTTGACATAAAATGAGTTTGGGATTGTACATACTTGTTTCGGCAGTCAGCACATTCCTTGTTTTCAGGAAGTTTAAGTAGGCCCTCTAAGATCTGCATATGGTAAGAAACGGGAAGAATAAGATGTATCAAAATGGAAGTTGGCAAACCTACAATGAAATGGCAGTCATGTTAATGTTTAACTAACCACAATTACCAACCTAACAAAGATTCCAAGTTCCAACTAATGTCTTAAATGCTATTTACAAGTAATATAATTATAAAATTCCACAAAATTTCAACTTAATGTTATCAACCAAATAAAGGGTAAAATTACAATTTAAGTCCCTGTAAATTGTTTTCCGTTTCAATTGTTTAAAACTTCATGCTATATAATCCCCATTGGCTGCCCTCATTCTTTTTCTTTTTTTTCTTTGCATTTTGTGTTTTTCATTTTCTCCCACGGTATCTATCAAGTGTTCATTAGTATATATACTCAGAGCAAATAAATAACAAGTTTAACTCCCATAGCTCCAAACTAAATACAGTTGAACGTGAAAGCACTAAATAATTAACAGCAAATTAACTTCATTATCTGTTAAGCATCACATGGCATCATAATTTGGTAAAGGATGTCTCTTTGTTTGCAAGACATGTCATCCAAACACAGATGGACCAAACTCATTAGAATGCTTTGATGAGTTTGATTCAAAACAAGACCCAAACCCAAGTTGAGGTGTTCAACAGAAGAACCCCGGAAGGACAAATTAAAAATTAAAAAGGGGAAAGGAAAAACAAAAAAGGGAACCTTGGTAAACTTGTCATTGAGCTCCTTAGAGACGGAGGCTTTGTGGTTCATGTTTGGCAATCCTTCACTGCTTCTGCGAAACACAGAACCCAGCAGCGAAGGAAAATGTGAAAGCAAAAGGAAAATGAATGAAAAGGAAGAAGAACGTTATCTGGGCACGAGAGAGAGGGAGAGTGGCAGAACAAATTGAAGGGAGAACCGTAGGAAAAGAAGAGGAGAGGAAACGGTTGGAAATGGAGGCGAGAGAGAAGGGATTAAATGAGCGAAAGACGGCCTTCACAAAGGCGGGACCTCTAACAAACATTTGGACATATCTCTCCCCAAAACACAAATCATGGCTTCCTCAATCGCTCACGTTTACACTTCAACTTGGTTGTCAAAACTCTCAAACTATTCCAAATTTCAGCTTTACAAGCCAAAAGGAAACGACAAATCTGACAATCCCAATTTCAATAATAAATACCTTCGGCAGGCAAAATCCGGCTTTCGTTGGCCCCAAAAAAGGCAAAATCCGGCTTTCAGTGGACTCCACAAACTACCTGCTTAGCACATTTTTTTGTTGTGGAAGTCTTTTTGGTATTTTTGTTGCACTAAATAAAAATTTCCACAATTTTTTTTTATCTAAACTGCAATGGCATCTGATACTTTTAACATGTATTGCAAAAATTTTCATTTCAATATTTTGTCTGATAAAACTATTTTATACACAATAAATATTCTCTCTGAAAGTAAAGTTCGTTTCGTATAAAATTAAAATCATGTTATTTAGCATATAAAATACTACTCTATTAAAAAATGTGAAATATTTTTTAAAGAATTAAATATTAAAAATGTAAGACATTTTTAATCTTTCGAAGTGTAATTATTACTTTTTTTAAGTGTCCCTATTCATAGTGACTTTATTTTATTATAAGGTGTTTAATAGGAATAAATATGAAAAGATGGAGTTTGTTTGAAAGTAGGTAACTACTTTATTGAAAGTAAGATCCGGTTAAAAATGCCTTATATTTTTGAACGGAGGAGTACCTTTTTTTATTTTATTTATAAGCTATTTATAACCGTTATCAAATTGTGAAAATGTAATTAAATTATTAATTTTGTCTTTTAAAAAAACTTATCAATTTATTCTTATTAATATATTATTTTAAAAAATATTTTCTATTTCATGTAATTTTTTTACATGTCTAAAATTTCGAAAAGGTCAAATTAAAATATAGCAATTAATGATGTAACTTTTTTATACAAGGTGACTTATATGAAGAATTGTGAATTTCTTTTAGAATATAACTTATACATAGGGTTAGATGGAGTAAGTTTGATACATTTTACTAACATACCTCAGCTTCTTAATATAAGGAAATCTTAACCAACTTTATATTTATTGAGAAATAATATACATTGCTTTCAGTTTTTCGGGAAAGATATTATCTACTGTTGACCCAGCCTACTCTTTGTACTTAATAAAAAATAATTATATCCTTAAAATTATTAAAAAGGACATATAACTTTCAAATTTTACCCTTCTTTGTACTTGATAAACATAAGAAGTTGTTACCTGGAAATTTAACCAATAAAATTAAACAAAATATATACTCCTCTGTTAAAAATATAAAGCATTTTTTAATGAGTTAAATGTTTAAAAATATAAGGTTTTTTTTTTTAACGTATAATTATTGCTTTTTTTTTTCAAAAATGCCCCTATTGATAATAACTTTATATTTGTTATAGGATATTTACTAAAAGTAAATATAAAAAGATAGAATTAGTTGAAAAGTAAATAACTACTTTATTAGGGGGTAAGATTTAAATAAAAATGTCTTACATTTTTAAACGAAAAGAGTATCAATTACTCTAACTTTACTTTAAATTAAAAATTAAAAAAAGTTTTCAAGATTTGCCTCTTGCAAAGTAGTGAAGAGGGGTGTGTGAAACATGAAGGACATAAGATACAATTGGAGTAACTATGACAAAAGGTTGATATGATTAATATATAGATCGACTTTTAATCAGATGAAAGCTACCCAGCTTCATCATTTCTCGAAAGTTCAGGTGCCAATAACGATACGATCTAAGCATTATCATGCCAAGAGACTGCTGACGTGTCCAAAAGAAGCAGTGAATGGAAGCTAAACCTACAAATTTGCCTCAATTTCCAATCTTCATTAATCCCTTTTTCTTTTTTTTTAACCATAAAGAGTAAACAGATTTTGACTAAATAACTTTTTATTCTTCCTTTTTTTTCTTTTCAAAAGCAAACTGGCATGGCTTAATACCAAAGCCAATCACATAATTCACGCTGCTACTTTACGCATCCTTTAAATAACAGATTATTTAATTAAAGCTTGTTTGGTTCGGTTTCATTTTTTATTTTAAAAATTACTTTTCAAAGCAGAAAAATCTGTTGAAGTATGTATATTTACAAACAATTTTAGAGTTCAGAAATAGGCCAATAATAAGTAGTTAATAATCACTGGCGGACGCCGGATCAGGATCCATGGAGGCAAAAAATAAAAAGAAGAATATAAATTTATATTACTAAAAAATAATAATTTAAATTTAAATTTAACATATTAAGAGTCTAAAATATGTTAGAATTAGAATTAAGTGAAATATCAAATGCTTAAATTTTTCGAGATCTCAAAAATATTTTATTGAGTTTAATGGATTCAAAATTATTAGGATAGTAGATGTAAATTTTTAAAAATTACGATAATAAATTTTATCAAGTTGAGTTGGGACACTTGTCCACCCTCACCTCAACCTAACTCCACCGCTCTTAATAATAGTAGCCTAAAATATTGATTGACGATAACTTACAATAATCAAATATAAAGTGAATTTAAAATAATAGTAGCCTAATATATTGATTGACTACAATTTACAACAATCAAATATATAGTGAAATTTAAAAAAAAAATAACTAACATGTTTCTTATTTTTTTAATTTTTAAAAATGAAAAATAATTTTAAGAACATTTAAATTCAAAACACATACTCAACAATTTTTTCTTTTTAAAAGCAGAAAACAGTTTTTAAAAACCAAACTCAAATATACCTTTTAAAAAAAAATTAACTTCACACCCTTTAAACTTAAGAGTCTACAATTAACAACTAATATTTTAACAAGCCACCTAATTTCATTGTTTGGCGTTATAGTGAATCTCACGTCCTGATGATGACACACATACCCGAGGCCTGTACTTTGCATGTATCATCAAGTTACTCATGCCTGCCACAATTTTTTTTCCCTAGAAAAATCGAAGGTTATTGATGTGGGAAATTGACAGAAGACAAAATAACAATTTCAATGTTACAATCCAATAAAAATGGATGTACTCGAAAAGGAGTTGTATGAATTACCATGTTCATGAGGTGAGAATTTAATATGAAGCATAGCAGCCAACAAACTACCAATCCAATAGTGACAAAACTGACGATATTATATAGAAGAACTTGTGCTCTCCTGAAAGATATTATTCAACTATAGCACTCATCATTTTTTTTTTTTTCACTAGGGTATATACCGAAGGCCTTGTCCCAACTAGCAATTTTACACAGTGAAAATCCGATAACCGAATCTTAATGGAACTGAACCAAAACTTTTACATGAACTCATCATAATCATCCAGAGCACTATACGGATCAGAAACCAAATCCTCATCAGGTTTGTCAAGATGGAGCTGCTTTTTCTTCCCACCTGCAAACACAGTTTAATATGACGCCACGAGATTTCTTTTTCTTTTTTCTTTTTAAAAAAAGAGAGAGAAGAAAAATAACAGTCACATATATATATATAAAGGAAATCTATTGAAAGTACCTTACCTGTCTTCTTTTTACTAGCATTTGCTTCTTTTTCTGCTTTTAACTTCTCATTTGCAATGGCAGTGACAGATGATGCAATCTCTTTGGCATCTGATCCTTTTAAAGATGCCACTGATAATCTCATCACTGACTTCAGTAAATTCATGTAATGGTAGCTTTTCTGCATTCAATGAAAATATGAAATTAGCTTTATTGGTTAAAAAAAATGAATAAATTAAATTAGCATGTCCTTTAAGAAAATATTTAACGAGGAAAGGAATATCTTGTTCACCTCAAAAGGACGAATCTTTTGGGAGATAAGCTCTGCATATTCCAAGAAATCACTCTCAGATTTGGGAATAAAATTATCGAGGTTCTTTTCATCACTTCTACCGCCAAACAATTCTTTGGTGGTCCTGTAATCTGCTTCCTCGACCAATCTGTGATCAATGAATTAAATAGTAAGATGCCAGAGGCCTCTTGAAGAAATTTAAATTGTTGTTGTCATGCACAGATGCTATAATTTAGTTACTTTTATTCGTCAGAACTGAATGTCAAATGTGGGTGGGGGGATTAGAAGCTTAAAAGCACCAGTCAGATACAAATCAGAAAGAAGTCAGACATCAAGTCAAACATAGAAGCCTGCCACTAATAACAGCAAGTTCACACAAAAACCCACACGCATAAGGTCCAGAATTTGATAAGAAATAAGCTAAAAGGAGTGGCCTTCATAAGCTTATCTCACTTGCAATACCACACAAACTTGCATGAAACAAAGCAAATAAACAAGAATTAATACAGGAATTTGTCTCATAGCGAGTAAACGCAAGCCTAAGCAAGCATTATACTGAAGAGAAAGGGCTCATTTGTCAATTCCAAGTCAAATATGGCTTTCAGGAGAGAGAGTTTTGCCAAATTAACACAAAATAAGTGTTCAGACATCAAGTCAAACATAGAAGCCTGCCACTAATAACAGCAAGAAAAACCCACACGCATAAGGTCCAGAATTGATAAGAAATAAGCTAAAGGAGTGGCCTTCATAAGCTTATCTCACTTGCAATACCACACAAACTTGCATGAAACAAAGCAAATAAACAAGATAATACAGGAATTTGTCTCATAGCGAGTAAACGCAAGCCTAAGCAAGCATTATACTGAAGAGAAAGGGCTCATTTGTCAATTCCAAGTCAAATAGGGCTTTCAGGATAGAGAGTTTTTGCCAAATTAACACAAAATAAGTGTTCAGCAATCATGTCATTCGAAAATAAAATGCTGAAAACGAAACATCATGTCAACCCAGCCATCCACATTTTGCCACAAGTCAAACACACTGTTACTAGAGCTCAGTAATGCAACTCCTAGACAAAAGCAATCTTGGTCAAGGTGACAATCTCGTCTAACGTCCTCTTTAACAGTATCGTCTAGTCTTCGGTTTGCAACCTTGAATAACCTTTTCTGTCTATGTTAGTTGTATGACCCACTCCTACCCCCAATTACTCTTATCCTTCCAGCAACAAAGCTATTCCTGAAGTGACTTCTATAATGTTACCATGAATTCCAGGATCTTTCCCAAGCTACCTCAACATTCCTGAGGTGCTACCATCACTATAGTTCACTTAAAATGAGAATCCCCTTTTCATTTTGTTACCTCCCTTTTCATTTTCAGACAATAACGTTTCTAAGATATTTTCCCTATATCTCCGCCATTTCTTGTATCTCCCTCTTCCATCTAACGATAAAATGTTTGGCCTTTTTTTTCACAGATTGTCGTATGCTGTGATACCAAACAATGGAACCCAAGCAATCAAATATAAAAATAATGCAGACGACTTGGGCAGAGTATAATCTAAGCAGGAGGAGAATACACTAATAAGAAGAAATACCAGAAAACAAAGCACATGCCCACAGAGAACACCTTTCTCTGGTTTTTGAGACCAGAGATTCTCCCACACATCACCCACAATACATTCCCTAATACCTCTCTCTTTCACTCTCTCACCCCTACACATCACCCACCATATATAATAATCTATGTTACTTGTTCCCAGAATAGAACACAAACAATAGAACAGAAATGTACAAATAATTGATGGAATCCATGATACCTTTGTTGACGAAGTTTTTCAGCCAGAGATCCAATGGTTTCTTCACTTTCTAATAATACTTTCTTCCCCGTCTTGTCAGTAGCTTTTATCAGAAGGTTCTTTTGGAGCCTTTTCCGTAGGTTTCTCTGCAGGTGGTGCAGGTGCCTGACACAATTAAGCACAGCAAGAAAAAGAACTAAGTAAACTGACAACTATTGACTGGAACATAATCAGAAACAAATAGTTTAAGCAGTGCATTATCAAGACTCAGATATAACAAAGGCAATAATATTGCATACAAGAGCCATCACCTTTTTTCTCAAATTAACAATAAAGAGACCCAACATCAATGCGATTGACCCACTCAGCATTTCACCACAATCAAATGACCTTTGTTGTATTTTACTTCCTAAAGGATGATCTTGTTAAATTATCAGAATTCAGCACGTCAATTGAAACATTTGAAATCACATGGAAGAACTACTTGTCCAGGCAACTATTTGCATCTTAGCTTCACAATTTTAGCAGCTAGAGCAATAATGCATAAAATGGCACATTAAAAATTGTCATTACAACAATTCGAAAGCAAATAAAATATTTTAAAACAATAATGATAGCACTGGCATGATGATACTAAGCAAGCACACTAATAAGCCAGAACAGGAATATGAGTTTAAGGGGGAAAAACAAAAGAAAAGAAATTACACTACTTCCATGACAGATATATGTTGGGTTGATCATACCGGAGCAGGTTCATCTTCATCCTCCCAAGATTCCTTCACATCATTTTCATCCACGTCTTCATCATCCCATTTACTTCTAGGTTGCTTGATCAAATTAAGAGGTGGAATATGCTCATCCTCTAGAACAAATATGCAGGCTCTGGTCAAATTAGCAACAACGCAAAACCACAGAAGAAACAGGATATGCTTTAAATATATCAAGAGTAAATATTTCTACTTATACTCGTTTGATCTTTTCCCAGAAGAAAGTTACTAGATATCAATATCCTAACTGTTATGTGGTAAAGAGTCAAAATCAAAGATAATGTACTAGAAAAGAAGGTAAAACATTGAGCATAGTTCTTGAGCACACAAAACAGAACAAAGAAAAACAAAAAGACAAACACAAATGGACCGATCCTTCAATTCTCAATGAACATCAAAAAAAGATTATTAATGAAAAGAAAATTGAAGAGCATAAAAAAACAATTAACAGAATATGATGCAGAATCATTACCCCAATCCTCCATCTCGTAGTTACTTTTGCCAATTTTAGAAAATAACAGAATATTATAACTCAACTGCATGAGTCAACATGAAAAAAATAGTCAGATAAAAGAAGCAATGAATTCATAAAGATAATAAATCGTGGCATTCTAGTAAGACCACCTCATCAACCGTTCACAAAAAAAAGGGGGCATATAGACCACGCCTGCAGTGACAGATTATAAAACAAGACAAACTTATTTTCTTTATCTTTCTTTCCTTCTTGTCATCTTGTGCACGCCCCGATATAAACAATTCTAAGAATTGCTATAATCATGAAAGTCAAAGAAAGATAGAATATGAAATGATCTTTCTGCGTCCCGAGTTAGCAGTCTTCTATGCAAGAAGTCCTTAAAAAGGTTGGTTTTTTTTTTTTTTCTCATGAAAGGAGTTGGTTATTATCTATAGTTACCATAATAATATGGAAAATTGAATATTTAAATATTTATCCACAAGATAATACCTCTGAAAAATAATAAACAAGACTCATCGCAATTCAAGCATTACGCTAGGAAACTTAATTGCAGTAAAAAAGCAGCCTCATTTAGTGGCACATGCTACAAGGACGAAAGAAATAATCCAAGATTACTGAGAGGGACTGTCCAAAGAACTAGCGCGATAAAATCAATCAATATACAACAATAATCTAAGAGGCAAAACCTCGTGTTTGTATTCAGCAATCGCACCCTTTCTGTAATTGACTCAGCTATCTATCTGAGCTCCAATATAGGAAGAACGAGAGGCTAGCGTCAGAAGGAAGCAGCAGCAGGTGCCAGTTGTCGAGAGTCAGAGACGGGGGAAACAGATGGTATTGAGGACTGGGTTCGCAAGACAACCTATACAGTGAATGAAAAAAAAATCGTTTTCAGAAGCCAAACAACTCGAAGCATAACTTTCAAGATTCTCCGTGGCAAAAACCCAGAATTTAGCAACAGCCATGCCAATGTTAGTTTCTCACTGCCAACACTGCCACAAAGGAATAGTCTAGAGCCTACACCAAGAAACTCCGTGGCAACTCACCGCGTCTCCGCTAAAAGCCAAGAACGTTAAAAAGATGATAAAGGGAAAGAAGAGGGGCATATGATACCTGTAACGACGCCGGCGAGAACTTGAGAAGAAGGCAAAGAAGCGGAAGTTTTTGGTGGGGTGGCTGATTAGGGCGTTTCTACTTTCTGGGTTGAAACTAACGAGACTCGGCTTCTTATGCTTGCACTGACACGCTAGCTTATCGAGGAAATGAGCCGTCATCCGTCTAGCTTGACCCCCAAAAAAAAAAAAAATTTAAGAAAGAAAGAATGAAAGAGACGGGGAAAAAAAACGGCTTTGGTGACTTATTTTCATTTAATTGAATTGAATGAAAAAAAGAGAATGTGCCTAAGCAATTCTCTCCCAAATTGTAGTAGTTATATTCAACCCAAATCGTTATTAAAGAATTCTTACATTTGTTATTCATTTGCCAGTAAAATATTTTGGAACATAATTATTGCCATTCAATTATTTTTTAAAAATAGATCTCCTTGTCACTGGTAATGAAACATATTGATTTAGTTGATTTTGAATTTCCCTTGTGCGACAACAATTTTTTTTTTAAAAAAAAAAGCTCAAATAATTTATAAAAATGCTCCAAAAAATTGATACTCACTTTTTACAATAAAAATGTTTACAAACTTATACATTAGTAATATGAATTTCAAATTAATATAACAAAAGTCTTTAAATTCAAGAATCAAGAGTCTTAAATGGTAAGATGATGAAAAGTCTTAATTGTCATTATATAGATCGTCACACACACCCTAAGAATGAAAATAGGTTGAACCGAACTAAATTTTAATTAAATAAACCTAAGCCTATGTGTTTCAATTGAAGGTTTAAACTTGACCTAAAGCTTGTATAAAACTTTTTTTATGACTCAAGTCTAAACCGGCTTAAAACCTAACCTACTCTACAAGCCTATTTAAAAGTCTAATTAAAAGTAAAGCCTTTTAAATATGCCCGTATCTTAATTTTAAAATTCTCAAATATACTTTAAGACTATTATAATACACAATATATAACTAATTTATCAATTATAATATATAAAAATTGAAAGGACTTACTAACTACAATATAATATAATAATAAAATGACAATATTAAAATTAATACATAAGTCAAATATGATTGAAAACATCACTAGAAGTAGTAATGAATAAATTGATTAAAAATTATATAATGAAACTGATGTGTTTGTGATACAATACATAATATATATATATATATACCAGCCTGTTAGGCTTGTAGGCTAAGCCTTGAAAAAATAAACCTGACTTATTTAATTAAATAAGCTTAATTAAAAGCTTGAGCCTATTTAATAAGTAAGCTGAGCTAGGCCTGAAGTAAGCCATACTATAGACCCTGATAAGGGCTGACCTATTCTCACCCCTCAATCACATCCTAAACGATCCGATACCACATCACAAAAGGCCAGCAATATCTTCAGTCATGCAGCCGTCAGATTTCGGCATTAGGGAGAGACTTTGAAGGAGAACCAAGCAAAAACTAGTTTCAACTTTCCCACAAGTGACACATCTTGCTTGGTCTAAGCATGTCGTCTCTCTAAAGAGTACAAATCAAGGGAAGAAAAACCAAGTAAATGCAAATGTTACAAGTTGAACAAACATTTCAGCTTGATTTGGATGGAGGGAAATTAGAGGCGGGGGGGGGGGGGGAATTTCTGAAGTAGTAAAATTTTTTTTAGCCATTTTTAGGAGTTTCCTCCCTAGTTTTCCTCCTTCCTATGTTTCTCCACATTCAAACAAAGGGTATAAATTGCCCATAACCTCCATAACAACATACTAATATAGCTCATGTCAAGGCCTCATCATCATATTTTATGTCCGCTGAGCAAAGCAATCTCATCTTTCTATCCCTAAGCAATCTCTCTTTATGTTGGCACACCGCACCGCATAGGGAATTCAAAGATAATCATGGCTCACAATAAAATACCACTATGGTAACCAGAACAACAAGCAAAGCATCATGATACAGAGTCAAGTTCATTCTTATGGGCATCACTAAAGTGATTGTATGGCAAAAGTGAGAAACATTGCTAAACTGTGTTGCATGCAGAAACACTGTCAATCCAGCACGGGTGGTTAAAATTGTTAACCAACCTACGGTAAGCACCTCAACCAACCCACAAGTCAACAACCTCACAATCTCCGAATGTTGTTTCAGCAACAAAATATCATGGTAGTCATCTAGAAACACTTGGTAGCTCTGTAGGAAATATCATGCTGAGATGAAGGTGCCCAAAATGGCAAGGAAAAATATGTCAATAGTGAAGGTGCTACTCAGACCATAAAGGCACATTCTCATGCGAGCTAAGTCCAAAACGGCAGAAGGAAGAGCAAATAAGGAACCTGAAAAAGAACTACAACCTTCCAAAAAGATGACCTCGGTCTAAAATCTCTATATGATAATGTATATTGTTTCAGATGGAAAAAGATAGAGTCAAGAAGCTCAAAGAGCCACTAAAAAGAGCTTGGTCAAACAATTTAGAAACTCTAGGCCAGGCAAGGTCATCGAGTTTAAAGAAGAAATGAAAAGGCAAATGAGCTTCTGCACAATGTAAAAAGGGTGATGGAAGAAGTGAGTCCAAAAGGAGGAACAAGAGGCTCAGGAAGTCATGGCTGAGATAAAAGAGCAATCATGCCTCATGATTCGACTGTTAGATGCAAGCTTTATAGAGCTCAAAAACTCCTTGGTTACAGAAGAAATCTTGAAGGTAAATCCCTTGAGGAGAAACAGACCTGTGATGCTTCAACAATAGAAAGGTTGATTTCATCCATCATCTCCAAAACTTCAACCTGGGCCAACTATCTATCAAGTACAAGTGCAGGTTCTCCCTTAAAACCCTGAAAGATGGGGCAAGGATACGACTCAACAACCTCCCCAAAACTCACTTGTAAGCTTAGTTCCCAAAAAAAGAGTTCAGTCCCTGTAAGCATTTTCTCTCCAGGGCTGTATCCAAAAAGATGAAAATTGGTATAGTTCATAAAACAATTCAACGAAGGTAATGTCATTAGAAACCTGTACAAGGAAACAATAATCAGTATCATAATTCATGACTATAAGATTAAGGTTGTGAAAACTGAAACTCACCCTGGTGAAGAAGCAACTTGTAATTTCTAACTAACTTATTAAAAGGTATTGTTAGCAAAAATTGCATCAAGGAAGAAGGAAGGAAGCCTATTGACCATAAGAGGAATAATAAATGACTCTGGCAGTCAACCAACACAGGTTAGGAGGAAAAATCAACTTTAGAAACTATGAAGCCCTGTAATCCCAGTTCGACTACTATACCTAATTAACAGTCTCCCTGGTTGAAGTAATGATGATGTAGAAAAGGAGAGATTTGGAAGTCCCGCCAACTAGTATAAGCAAGAAAAATCATGAACAACATAGATACAGACATTATCATTGTGATATCAGCCATGACATAGAATATTGCAGAGGCCTCAAGATGACAAAGAAGATTAAACACAGACAGCTGTTTTCTACGAATTTATCATTCAAAATAACAAGAGAAGATAAACATTTAGGCAGGACACTGCAGAGGATGAGAGGAGAAAGTTGCTCAAGGAAGGGCGTAGGAACAACCCCAAAATCCAGCAAAGCACCAAATTAAACCACACCAGTTGGATTTATCGTTGTTAAATCAGCCCAACATACCACTCACAAATGGACACAGAAAACTTCTCGAGCAAGGAGATGAATATCAACGAATACACACCCAAGAAGTGTTAAATCAGCCCCTCCCCAGCATCAATCAGAAGTGGTCCTGTTCTACAAAGAAGAGTACTTATAAGGCACACGAGTTGTAGTAACAAATACACATCCAACTTAGAAATCAGATGATGTACCAAAGCAAGGTATATCCAAGCTAAACAGGTCCCTTTTATCTATCTGTTTCTTTTCAGCCTGATAAGGGGAGAGAAAAAAATTCTCAAACATATTTAGATGAATCAATAAAAATAAGTTTGGCAAAAGCTCCTCAGATGTCCCTTCAGCTCCACACACAGAAAGAAGTTTCAGAAATTGGAACGATATGATAGGAAGTTTCACAACAGATCATCATAGGAGCATTAGTCCAGGCTCAAGCATATCAATGAAAAACTACGAAGATGTTGCATCCAACATTTTAGCTTAGCGGCAGAAATGATATGGATGGCCAACCAAGCTATGAAAATTGTTGTGTGCAGATTACCAATCCTACTTATTATTGATGCGTGCACAATACATTAGAGAACCATAAGCAAATCACCGTTCAAAATAATTTCTGGCATTAAAAAAAATGCAGAAGTAACTTTTCAGAAGGCAAACTGAAGTCTGAAATTTTAAGATGCACGCATCGACAAACAAAGAGGCAATTACAGGCACTCATCTCCACCATCATTGAAGTCTCATTCTTTTATTGAAGAAACCGGGTCAATAATTCAGATTGGAAAACCTAACCGCCGAGGGAGTAAAATGTTAAAAAGTTACTTGGTGCTTGGCAGCAGATTACTCAGGACATTGTCAAGAAGTGTATTTATTGGTGGGCTTTGGGTTAGGGTTTTTGTGAGACGCGGCGAAGGCAAATGAAAGAGAAGGAAGATCGACGCTCAAAGATGAAAAAAATTGCGGTGAGCGTGGATCGAACACGCGACCTTCAGATCTTCAGTCTGACGCTCTCCCAACTGAGCTATCCCCGCAGAACGTTGAGATTGCTTTATTTTTATTGTCGTACTATACAAAAATAGCGAGTGTAATCCCACAAAATGATATATAGTAATAAAGTTCATCAAATATGTTTCATAATTTTATTTATTTTTAAAATAAAAATAATTTTTAAAAATGTATTTTATTTAATAATTCATTTATAAAAGATATATTAAATAGAATAATATATGAAGAGAGTAAATATAAAAATATTAATAATAAAATTTAATTTTTGTCAAAGTATTTTATATTTTAGAATGTTAATTTTTTTCTTCAAAATATCTTATAATTTAAATAGAGGAAGTATTGCATGTGAGATTTAAAACAAAACAAAAACAATTTCCTATTTTTTCCCAATGAAAAGTTTAATGCATAAAAAACCGTACAAAACCATATATTTATTGCAATTTACAGCATACAAAAAAACTATTGTTGAAAATAAAGATCTAGACCATTCTTTTAAATAAGCTATATCATTAAAAAAAACTATATCTGGATCATTCTTTTTTTAAGAAAAATAAGCTATATTATATAACTAATATTGAAATCATGACATACCAATCTGTTACTACATCCTTTTCCTGGTCTACATTAATATTTGCTCAAGCTTGTTTCTTTCTTCCAACTACAATAGTAAGGTAATGTTTAGTATATGGAAAAGGTTTTTTCTAAAAAAAATTAAAATATATTTAAAAATAACATGATAAGTGAATTTATCATTTTTTGTTACGTTTGTTTTACCTATAAAACGTTGTATAAGTTTTTTGGTCTGCATTGTTTGCTATCTCACAAAGGCATCAAGGATCCATTTTAGGCATGACCTAACCTCCATGAAAGCCATACTTGTTTTTATGCTTATGTCATATGATAGATTTGATTATCACAGTAAGAAGAGTATAAAGGTAGAATCAAATTTAATATAAACCCATACGATTATTTTTATGTCAAAACTCAGAAACAAAGATAGAACACAGAGAGGTACCTGAGTTCATCACCATATTTCTTAGGTGTGTTTTTTGAATTTATTACTGGTGAAAACTCTATATGTTTTCGAAAAGGAAATGAAAAACATTCCTTCTAATCGGCCAAACCAGTGATCACAACCTTTATTTATAGAATTAATAGGTTTGCGATATTTGTAGTTTGGCCCCTAAATAATTATAAATATCACCTTCGTCTTTACACATATATCCCATCACAATTATATCCCTAAATCTTTAAACTTAAATTCAAATAGATCACTTTATTTAGACTTAATTAAATAATGGCTTCATATTTTTTAATATATTACATGTGTGGCCTCATATGTTGGACTTTATTTTCTACATCATCTACAATCCCACCAATATAAAAGTAATTAGTATACTTCTTAAAGTTTTTATTCATTTTTTTTGCAAATTTTATACGCACGGTGAACTAACAGTTTAATTTGATTAATTCATTTGAGCCTTGGGAGGCTCTCACTGAACAAATGTGTATTGCTACATGAACATTTGATCATCACAGCGATCAGAATGAGCAACAAAGTGAGGACGGCCAATCGGTAAGCCAAATGGCCATGTGCTTTGAAGATGGAATTGAATTCCTTGAACTTGGAATTGAGAGTGGAAAAGCAATTCTTCACCTCAGACAAACAGGTCCTTTTCTTGCTGGCTTCTTGATTATAATCTCAAGGCTGTCATTGGTAGCCATGGTAGCGCGAATTTGTGAATTCTTCAAACGCCTTTCAAGTTTGATGATTTTGCGAAGGCTCATTTCCCCCACGTGCCGTTCTCCCCATATTAGCAACTTTCCCTTTACGGGCTTCACATGTAGCTGTGATTTGGTGTAACCTTTATTAATACACATGTCACACCAAAACTTAAATGTCAGATATATGTGAGAAAAAAGGAAAAATAAGGATCTGAATAAAGCATAACTCATTAATATCATGCAAATTGAAGTCCTTTAATTTCACACAGCAAATTAAAATATCTAGCTAGTCAATGTTATCTTAAATATCAATGTTAGATATATGTAGGACGAATGAACCCCACATATATCTCTTCGTTGAAGGTAAAGCCAACATTTTATTACGAGCTAAAGCTAGGAAGGTTGGGGTTGAAAAACACATACTCCCTCCATTAAAAAATTATAAAATATTTTTAATTAAATCTCACATTCTAATAAAGTAATTACTTATCTTTAATTAACACCATCTTTCCATATTTATCCCTTTATATAAGAAAATGTTTAATTTTAAATAAATATAAAGTAATTCTTTAATAGGAGCACTTTTTTAAAAAAAATGTAATGATATACATTGATATACTAAAAATATTTTATATTTTTTAATATTTAACCATTAAAAAATGTTTTATATTTTGAATGAGTGAGTACAACAAAAAACTTGCATTTGAAGTGCTAGAAATGTAGATGCGATGAGTATAATGGCTTCTAAGAGAATTGGAATTGCACTATGAAAAAAATATATTATATACATGAAAGTAGAGCCCAAAAATGGGTGGTGTTTGGCCTGCATTGGCTTGATCTTAAAAAACCTTTTATTTTAAAATAGACAATTTTTTAGCTCAATCTTTATTAGTTGGGCTTAACATTGGATTCGAAAGTCCCTTTCTTAAATATTTAAAAATACATTTATCATTATAATATTGCATATTTATGTATAAAGTATAGGTTGAAATGTTTTGAAATAATCAATGGATTTGGGTTTAGCAAAAAAAGTTAGTTTTCATAATGTGATGAATTAAAATTTCAAGAGAATTAATTGCACTATGAAAAAAATATATTTTACATATGAAAGTAGAGCCCAAAAATGGGTGGGATTTAGCCCGTACTGACTGGATCTTAGAAAACCTTTTATTTTAAAATGAATGAATATTTAAACTCAATCTTTATTAGTTGGGGTTAGCATTGGACTCAAAAGTCCCTTGTTTAAATATTTAAAAATAAATTTGTTATTATAATATTACATATTTATGTATAAAGTATAGTTAAAATGTTTTGAAATAATCAATGGGTTTGGATCTAGCAAAAGGTGTTAATTTCTCATAATATGATGAATTGAGGTTCGAATCCCCATTGAGAGAGGTACCACATTTAATATCAGATAATAATTCAAAAAAGATTACCTTCAATAAAAGGATACCTGTTAAATACCAAAAAAAATGTTTTGAAATAAAAAATAATAAGTAATATAAATCTTACTTTTAAATATAAACACATGTTTTGAAGTTTAAACTTAATCCAAAGATAAAAATACTATATAGTTTCCAGGATTAAAATAAATACATACTCAATTTGGGTAGATTAAGCCCTAATTTTTTTAAAACTTAAAAGAGTTGGGCTCCTAGTCCTTTTTATACTAAAATACCTCAAATTTCGAAGTCCAAGTCTGGTCAAAAAGAATTTAATAAGTTGCCCGATGAACCTGATGTATATTTTCGACTATATTAAATGCAATCGGGGATGTTTTGATATAGAGGAATGATTTTTTTTTAATATAGTCCATATAACAATGAGAGAATGAATTAGAGATCCAAAAGAATCAATTAATTCAATTTAGGTTTTAAATATCCAACTTTATAAATTTGCCAATTTAGTTTTCAGTTTTACAACTCGGTATGATGAATCTGCAATTTATTTTTTAAATTTTAACAAGATTGAAGAATATACAAGTTTTTGTTTTTATGTTAAAATTTAAAAACAAGTTAAAATTCATCACAATAAAATTATAAAACTAAGAGTTAAATTTTTAAATTTTTAAAATTTAACACTTTGAACCTAAGTTGAATTAATTAATTCTGTTGAGACCTATATGTCATTCTCCCTATAACAAATAACTCAGATGATTGACATAAAAAAATTGATCAAGAAAGAAAATAGCAAGAGAGAATGCATAAAAAGATACAATGGAGGATTACAAACCCTTAACATCAATGGAAAAAGTAACTTCGCCTTCATCTTCAATCCTTTTGCACGAAGGTTCATAAATCCTGTATGAGCAATTGGCAAATTCTTCAGAGCCCATTATTCTCTTGAATTTGAAATATTAATTTGACTCCTATTTGAAGATTACATTGTGGATAAATTCCATTGATTAAATGCTATTTGACTTATATAGAGTTATCTATAAGAGTATTCTTCCCCTTAAAGAATATAATAATTTGTTACTTGCATGTGGATGACTGCTTCATTTTTGGGTTTGGTTTTGTCCCATATTCTCAAACCTTAGCTAAGTTAATAATATTCCTTTCCTACATGATGGGTGGTTAATGTATATTCTTAAAGGATTAAATATTGTTCGCGTCACAAGTTTGTTGGCACGTTCTAGTTACTAGTAATTGAAAATTTATCAATAAGATCGATGGCACTTTTATTTTTATCAGTATAGAAGTACGAGTGATGTTTATATCAAACACTACTTGATTAATAAATGAGTCAATTTGATGTGTTATTCTTAATTTATGTCATAAGTCTGATTTTTACAAAATGATAGAATTTTGACCTCGAAATTTTATGTTGGAATTATACTTGACCAAAAAAAAAAAAACACATTTTATGTTGTATGTTGGAATATGGTCCGACCTTGATGAATTGGAGCAGATAATGAGAAGCTCAATCCCAAATTAGTAATTAATTTTGAATTGATTTAATTATTTATTTAATTAAAATAATTATGGGATGATGGGTACATTACATATATAGTTTCTGACTTTCAGGAGGGAGCATCTTTTTGTTTAAGGATTTTATCAATCATAATTCTGCTCTCTTAGCCAAATTTGCTTCGCAATTGTTGCAAAATCCTGATGGTTCATGGGCCAAAGCTTTCCAAACACCAATTCCTTGATGCCAAAAAGGCTCACATATATCTTGGTATTGGTCAAGCTTGCAAGAAGGCAGAGGCTTCTTGAACCCTAATTTGTGCAAGCAAATTGGGGATGGTTTGATTGTATTCGAATTTAGAAAGATAATTGAATCCTGTTTTTTGGCAACCCATCACCTTTCTACTAATGATAAAAAACTTGCCAATCAAATACGGTTGTGACCCCCTTCAAACATCATTTCAAAATTCAATTCTTAGAAGTATATATAGAGAGTATTGTATGCAAGAGAATAACTCCTTAAATGGCATTCAAATTTTTTAAAGCATTAATCTCATGGTTGTGGGGATATCCTAAAAAAACCAAAAAATATAGTTGTGACAATGGAAGCTTGCATATGAACATGTGAGCATGCTTCTGGATGAGATCACACTTAATGCTATTTCAGCATATACTCTAAATTGATAATTTATTACATAATTCAGTTTAGTTGTGTAAGGTAGGGTAGTTGTTAATAGTGCAATTATAGTTAATAATATATAGTAAAAATTACATATAAGTCCAAAAATATTTTTTTTATAAATAAGTCTAGTAAATTTAATAAAATACTCTAAACAATTTGTCAACGAAAATGTTTTTTATTAAAATTATTAATATTTTAATATTAATAAGTTGATTTCTTAATCTAAAACCAAAACATACTGCTTGTATATTTATTTAATTCAAGTTTAAATTATGACAAAAAATAATAAAAATATATCGCTTAGATATAGTTAAATACCTCAAATCATGATATTACATTTTTTTTTATCCAAATAAAATTTGATTTAAAAATTACCAATCATTTTTAATAATTAATTGAATATAGTTATTTCTATTCTTAAAGGTTGAAGAATGCTAAAATCTAAACAAAAAAAGATAAAAAGAAAAGAAAAGAAACTGTGTACAAGTATATGAAAAAGAAAAACTTGCATAAAGTGTAATGTCTAGCGAATTAAAAAAGTATCACGACAAAATTAGATTAGTTTATATTTAAATAGTGATATGAGCATGACTTGATTAGAGAGACTTTTATTGTTATTTGAATAATTAATTTTTAGGGAGAATATATTTTTTTACGGCAATAAAATAATTAAAAATGATACTTTATAATTTTTTAAAAAATATATTTTTATTGTGTGGTTGGGTTGACCTACCACACATAACACATAATACAATTTAGGCAGGAGTAGGTTATACCAACACACCTTGTCAAACTTGCAACCTATTACAATTACAAGTTAGCCTATATTATCAACTCTAGTTTCAAGTTTTAACTACTAGTACTCATAAAAGGATTATAGTAGTTTATAAAAAAAAAAAGAGCAATAATAGATAATTTACCAATTTGAATATGGTATGTGGTCTAAACTTATTTATTTAATGATTATTTTAAAAAAATTAATCTTTTAATCCTTCAACTTTTAACTCATTGTAACTCAGTCACTCAACTATGACTTGCTACGACTCAGTTTCTCAACTATAACGCGCTACGACTCAGTCCCTCAACTTTTCATTCACCTATAACTCGGTCCTTATTTTTTAATTTTTTTTAAAAAATTTTTATCAAATAAGAAGGATAAAAAATGCTTATATATTATTTTAAAATACTCTCCTCTTATTCATTGATGTGAGATATAAGCTAACATGAAAAAAATTAACAAAAGTTAAGGGACTAATTTGTAAGTGATTCAAAAGTTGAGGAATTAAGTCATAGGCGAGTCATAATTGAAGGACTGAGTTACAAGTGACTTAAAAGTTGGATGATTAAAAAAATAATTTTTTCTTATTTCAATTACAATTATTAAATTTTATTAATATTCAGAAATTATTAAGATATATTTTTTAGAAAAATTCAAAATAATCCTCAAATCAAACATTCTTCACCTACTCAAAAATTAAAGATTGAGTAACTTATGAATATTATATAATAAAATTTCTTACAGTGACTCAATTAAATTAAATAGGTACTGTATCACATGGGACATGAGTCAATAAATTTGTGCCACCCATTACCTCTATAATCACCTTGTTAGCTGTGAGGCATGTTTTGTTGGTTGGAGTAATATTTTTTTTTCTTTATATAATCACACATATATTATTAAATACATATATTTTTATGATCACACATCTTTATAATGTGTTAAAAAACCCAACATGCTATGCAGCATGTAGTAGTCTATTTTTTAATCCTATATTCATAGTAGCAACAATGTAGGGCTCACAATTATATGCAAATATCAGCATGAATTCTATTTTTTTTATACGAAGCATGAATTCTATTTAGTATTTACAGACTTGGATTTAATCAAAAGTCAACTTCGAATTTAACTCATCTGTCTACTTCAATCGAAAATTAGAGCTGGGCTTGGGTCGGTTATCCGGTTCCTTTACAGCCCGTTCCACAATGACAGCCTCATGAACCACTGGAACCGGATTCATCTGTACAGGCGGCGGCGGCGATCTAGATCCGATCACAACTCCCACCGAGATGACCGCCATAGCCAGCGCTGCGGCAGCTTTCATGGCTCCCCAATTATTCATCTTCAGTTCTACTCCCCACCAGAACTCCTCCCGTGGCTGCCTGCTACAACAACGTCGTTTACCGGTTCATTCACCTGTTTAGGCACAACAATGGAAAGAAACACATCGGAAAACTTGGCTCGGATCTCACTCAGATTTGAGTCTTCGGAGAGTTTGATGTTCTTGTGAAAACGGGTCCACTTATTCGTGGCGCCCAAGGGTCGTTCTCCATGTATCAGCAACATCCCTCTGTTGTGGTTTATCTGAACCTTGACTTGTTCCGTTCTGAAACCTGCAAATCAAATTTGATTTTACCAGAGATAATTTATTCTACTTATGGTAATAATTATACGAATTGATATATATATGTAAATGAAAATAAGGGAGAAACAAGACGCACGCAGTACCTTTGAGATCAATGTCAAGAGTCTCAAATGTGTTCCATTTGCAGTGAGGTTCAAAAAACCTCGTAGAAGCGATTGCGGCGTTCAAGAGACCTGGTTTCCATGGCACATATATAAATAAATAGTATTATATCTGTGTGTGTGTAGCTTTGTCTCTTCTAATTTTACATGATGGAATGAAAGAAGAAGGAGCTATAACTGTTTGTGGATCTCTTTATTATGAAAATAATTACAGTGACTTGAATTCATTCCTAATGAAGTTTCCTCTCATGGGTTAATTGCTTCTCAATTTGGTAAAGAATACTTCCTTTTGGGTTTGTGGATGTATAAAGGAATTAAACTCTTGCTCAAGTTATCTCTTGGGCTTGTTTTCACTGGTTCCATGTATCTTTTACATTTTTATTTTTTTTAGTAAGCCATCTCATGTTAGAACTTATAAGCCAACGGTTTCAACTAATTCAAATTAAGTTAGGTTGGTATTGAATTTTTTAGGTGAAAAGCTTTATTACTGAATACTGTTGCATTCTATGACTTAAACTTGAAGCCTAAGTTGAGCAGCTAAGCACTGGTACAAGTCCCTTACTAGTTGAAATAAACACTTGTTTTTGGTTTTATATTTTTATGTTAGGCTGGATGTGGGTCTTAATATCTCTTATATTATACAAATTTTTGAGACACAAGTTACACTATTTAATTATTTATGATTGATGAATCATGATTAATGGTAGCTGCATGGTTGGAATTTTCAAAAATGTGAACATATTTCATTCAGCTAAAAATATGTTGAACGTTGACATGAGCTGATCTCTGTCTTTTAGAAAATTGAAATTCTTTCTTCTATAGCTCCTGAACTCAAATAAAAAAGTTCACTCTTTTTTTTTAAAAATATATTTAACTTTTGATATATAGGTTTGTATTTATTATTTTACAATATTAGATAATGGAAAGTTAAAATTATCATGTTTAATTTTGATTACAACAACTATCTACATATACGTACATATACTTGTGTGTGAAGAGTGTAGGTCTACTCTTATCATTATTTAATACATACATGAGAAGGTGTCACTTTATTTTTTAAATTTTACCCCTAATCTAACGTTTTCCTATATATATAAAAAAGGAGATGTATGCACCCACACATGCATACAAGCATGTCAATGTTAAGTTTAAACTCAATATCTCTTTCAAGAGAAGGAGGTGGCGTTGCTACTCTCACAATTGACCGTTTATTAGAATGCTAAGTCCTCAATCAATCAGTATAATAATATATATACTCCTTCTCCTTCTAATTTTATTTATAAAGTCCTTTTAGCATGGCATGTATTTCACTAAAATTAAAGAAAAATTTAAACTTCATTAGCACTGTTTTAAATTTTAATAACTTTTTACCTTTACCTCATAATAAAGACAAAAAGAATTACTTTATTTGCTAATTTTTTTTAGCATTTAATAAAGTTAGAAAGGTAACGGTAAATATAAAAAAAATAGAGTATCTTATAAATAGGAACAACATTAATATTTTCTCTCTATCCTATAAATAAGATTAGAAGGTTATATATATATATATATATATATATAATAACTCCACAAAAATTAATGGGGATTGGATCTTGCAAAAGAACTAATCCATCACCAAACTATCCTATTATTTCAAATTTATATTGAGAAAAGTACTCACATTTAAGATTTGTTTGGTTTATATTTTCAAAAATTGTTTTCTATTTTTTTAAAAACAAAAAATTAAAAATTGTTTGGATCAATATTTTGTATTTAGTTGTTTGCAGGGCTGTTGTCATTTTTTGTTCTTGGAAAAATCTTAAATTTATTTTCATTTTATTTTTCTTATTTTTGGTTGTATTTAGTTGTTTTGAAAACACACTATTGAGTTGTTTTCAACAATTCTTAGTCCAAGCCGACCCTTAATGACACTTGATATCGACAACATAACAGCCATATTAAGTTGCTGACGTCAACACTTCAACGAACAACATGAAAGCAACACATACGGATATTTTGAAGAATGATATAAAGTGTCTGTATATAAAATTATAACAAGTCCAATATAGATAAATTAAAATATTGCAGTGATGGGGAAGAGAAGGTAAATATCAATACTTCAAACTAATATATATAAATATTAAAGAAGGTTAAAAAATGGTAAACCATAAAGTTCCCCGTTGCAGCTTGGTTAATGATGGTACTCGTAGAACTTGTCTTCATGTGAATTTTGTTTGGACAATCCAGACTTCGATATTCATCATCCTAACGAAATTTAAGAGGAAAAAATAAAATAAAAATTGCCACTATAATTATCTATTAATCAAAGAAATCACAGTCAACCCTGATATAAAACCGCTTATATTTACCCTAAGCATATCTCTAAACTGTGCCTCCTCTTTTCCTCCCATTTTTTCTTGATTTCTTGGCCTTCTTTTTCTTGCAATCCAAAACCTAATGATCATAAAGTATCAAATCAATTTTCTCAATGCCCAAAACAAGTAAATGAACCATATGCCCATAATTACTATTGCCAAATGCCCATTTCCAACATACCCAATTGAAAGAATTAAAAGTGTTTCTTAGAATAGGGGTGTCTTTTTTTGCTTACTCTCCACCACCGTTCAACCTGCAATACGAAACAAGATGAATAAATATTCTAACGAATTATAGAATAATATATATATATATATAATATAAAATTCAAATGTTAAACCTTGATGCCTGCTAGGGGAGGGATCAGTTTACTGTGTATAAAACTAGCGCTTCATTGCAATCTCCAGTGACAGTTCACTCTCGCACATGGGACAATGGTAGTTCTCATGCAATTTGTCCAAGAGACCATTGTTGTGGAACCTCTTTTGGAGGCGACCCGTTCAAAAACCGAAAACCTAGCATTTATTTGTATTTGATGCATATTTCATAATTTTCTTTTTGATTGAAGTGATAAGAGGTGGGAGGCTCTTTAGTATAGTGGATTTTTTCCCCACAGTGGGAACACAAGAAGCAAGTTACAAACCCTGTAAAAAAAGTTGTAATTCATGGTGAATATAAAGAAAAGAAAATTGAAAAAAAAAAGACAAATGAATTGCTTTAACTAACATTCTAGAGAGCGGTTGAGATAATTGATTCCAATGACAATTTCAAGAAGTGCAATCCAATTTTGATAGTTGGTACTATGTTCTGATTTGTAGATCCCATATCTTAGCATTTCACATGCATTTATTTTATCACGAGTGAGAGTGAGGACGATGCTTTTTAACTTTAACGCTTCCTAATTTCTATTTGTTTTATCTTTTATTTAACATTTTAATTATATATGCTACTGCACCATTTAATTAATTATAACATTTTCATATATTAATTCAAAAATTAAAATAAATCAAATAATTCTAATCATGTCATTTTGCAATATTAACAATTTCAATAATTTTAATCATTGTTGTTAGAATCAAACTAGACATTGGATCGGTGAGAGTAGTAAATTGTGAACCATGGCCATATGTGGTTTGACTGACCTCAAATAAAATAAAAAAATTAAAAATTACATATGAAAAATAAAAATATTTTAGACAATACTTAACTGTATCCTTATCATTCATATCACATGTATAGTCAATTACATTAACATTAGAATAGACTTATTTATTATCAATTATAAATAATCAAAATTATTGCGTATCCTCAATAATTATCGAGCTAAACTAACATAAACTTTTATTATTAACTAAAATTACAAATAAATAATCATATATATATATATATATATATATAACACTAAAAAAAAAAACTAAACCAAACAAAAACACAAAAGAATATAATTTTGAGTTATTGAATTTTTTTAAAATGGAAACAAGTCCCTTTTAATCGATAATGACAATACAAATTTAAACGACATAATGATAAATATTTAAGAATCAAATAAAATATGGATCACAACTCCCACCGAGACGACCGCCATAGCCAGCACTGCGGCAGCTTTCACGGCTCCCCAATTATTCATCTTCAGTTCCACTCCCCAACCAGATCTCCTCCCGTCGCTGCCTGCTCCAACGACGTCGTTTACCGGTTCATTCACCTGTTTAGGCACGACAATGGAAAGAACACCATCGGAAAACTTGGCTCGGATCTCACTCAGATTTGAGTCTTCGGAGAGTTTGATGTTCTTGCGAAAACGGGTCCACTTATTCGTGGTGTCTAAGGGTCGTTCTCCATGAATCGGCAACATCTCTTTGTTGTGGTTTATCTGAACCTTGACTTGTTCCGTTCTAAAACCTGCAAATCAAATTTGATTTTACCAGAGATAATTAATTCTACTTACGGTAATAATTATACGAATTGATGTATATATGTAAATGAAAATAAGGGAGAAACAAGACGCACGTAGTACCTTTAAGATCAATGTCAAGAGTCTCAAATGTGTTCCATTTGCAGTGAGGTTCAAAAACCTCGTAAAAGCGATTACGGGGTTCAAGAGACCCGGTTTCCATGGCACATATATAAATAAATAGTATTATATATGTGTGTGTGTAGCTTTGTCTTTTCTAATTTTACATGTGGAATGAAAGAAGGAGCTATAACTGTTTGTGGATCTCTTTATTATGAAAATAATTACAATGACTTGAATTCATTCTTAATGAAGTTTCCTCTCATGGGTTAATTGCTTCCCAATTTGGTAAAGGATACTTCATTTTGGTTTTGTGTATGTATAAAGGAATTAAACTCCTGCTCAAGTTATCCCTCGGGCTTGTTTTCATTGGTTCCATATATCTTTTGCATGAATTGTTCCCAGGTGGTTACAAACTTCTTCTTCTTTTACATTTTTATTTTTTTTTAGTAAGCCAGCTCATGTTAGAACTTATGAGCCAACGGTTTCAACTAATTCAAATTAAATTAGGTTGGGATCGAATTTTTTGGGTGAAAGCTCTATTACTGAATACTATTGCATTCCATGACTTAAACTTGAAACCAACAGCTAAACACTGGTACAAATCCCTTACTAATTGAAATAAACACTTGTTTTTTGTTTTATATTTTTATATTAGGCTAAATGTGGGTCTTAATATCTCATATAGTACACAAAACTTTGAGAAACAAGTGACACTATTTAATTATTTATAATTGATGAATCATGATTAATAGTAGCTGCATGGTTGGAATTTTCAAAAATGTGAACATATTTCATTCAGCTAAAAATATGTTGAATGTTGACATGAGCTGATCTCTGTCCTTTAGAAAATTAAAATTCTTTCTTCTATAACTCCTGAACTCAAATAAAAAAGTTCTCTCTTTTTTTAAAAAATATATATTTAACTTTTGATATATAGATTTGTATTTATTATTTTACAATATTAGATAATGGAAAATTAAAATTATCATGTTTAATTTTGATTACAATAGCTATTTACATATACTTACATATATTTGCGTGTGAAGAGTGTAAGTCTGGTCTTATCATTATTCAATACATACATGAGATGGTGTCAAAGTTTATTTTTTAAAATTTTACCCCTAATCTAATATTTTCCCATAGGAAAGGGAGACACATGCACCCACACACGCACACAAGCATGTCAATGCTGAGTTTGAACTCAGGACTTCTTTCAAGAGAAGGAGGTAGCATTGCCACGGGAACAATTAACCATTTATTATAATGCCAAGTCCTCAATCAATCAATATAATAATATATATATTTCTTCTAATTTTATATATAAAGGCCTTTTAGCATGGCAATGTGTTTCATTGGAATTAAAGAAAATTTTAAACTTCATTAGCATTGTTCTAAGTTTTAATAACTTTTTACCTTTACCTCATAATAAAGACAAAAGGAATTACTTTATTTGCTAATTTTTTTTAACATTTAATAAAGATAAAAAGGTAACGATAGATATAAAAAATAAGAGAGTATCTTATAAATAGGAACAAAATCAATGTTCTCTCTTTGTTCTATAAATAAAATCGCAGGGTTTTTTTATATATATATATATATATATATATAATAAACTCCCCAAAATTAATAGGGATTGGCCTGATTGGGTCTACAAAAGGAACTAATCCATTACCAAACTATCCTATTGTTTTAAATTCATGTTGAGAGAAGTACTTATATTTAATATTTGTTTAGTTTAATTTATATCTTAAAAAATTGTTTTTTTATTTTTAAAAACAAAAAATAAAAAAATTGTTTGGATAAGTAATTTTTATTTAGTTGTTCGCGGAGTTGTTATCATTTTTTGTTCTTGAAAAAATCTTAAATTTGTTTTCATTTTATTTTTCTTAATTTTTAGTTGTATTTAGTTGTTTTCAAAACACACTATGTTTAATTATTGTAAAGTATAGTTAATTCAATTAATTTTTATCATAAATCATCACCATCAACTGCTTGCAATTATCATCACCAGCCTATTTGTTAATTCTAGAACTGTGTTTTTCAATTAACATAACTAAACATATCTTCAATTTGTTTTATTTTGAAAAACAATTATGAAACCTATATTATAAAAAAATTTAAAAAAATGAAAACAGAAACTAAATAAACCCTTAATGTTTTAATTGTGTTTTGAACATGATTGCATATTCCTATAGGAGGCCGAATACTTATGTGTAAAAAAATAAACTCCACAACGAAAGCCTTACTATTTATATATAAACTATAAATATAAATAGTGTAATTTATTTTTCTAAATCCATGGAAGGTCAAAATGCAAAGTATGCATAGTATATTTAACAAATAATAACATGAGGGCTTTCAATTAATGTTACATTATTATATTGTAATAAATTTTATTAATTGAAATATTAAAATGAAACATTCATATCTATAAATGGACAGCTTGCTCCTTGTCAGAAACGAGATGTTGTGGATGTCTATAAACCTGAACCAGTCGTGCTACGACGGTGACCAAAACCACCGCCGTAACAACCACCGCAACTCTGACGAACCTTCTCTTATCAATCTTCACTCCCCAAACACTAATCTTATCATCATTCTGCTGTGCTTCGTTAGAGTCATTATTATTTTTTGAAGGTGGTGGATGATGATCAGGAACCTTTGTGGGCATTACAATGGAAAGACAGCCTTTGGATAACTTGGCACGCACGTCTTTGTAGTTGCAGCCTTGAGGAAGTTTGGTTTCCTTGCGGAAACGAATCCACTTTTTGGCATCCACAGGCCTTTCACCTGATATTATTAGCATCCCCTTTTCATTTGCTTGAACCTTCAATTGCTCCTTCTTGAATCCTGCAATTTATTTTTTTTGTTTTTGTTTTTAAAAAAACGCTACATGCATCCCTGTTTTAAATTCATATTTATTTTTACCATAAACGATTATGATATTTTATATATTTGAATTTAATTTAATTTAATTATACTTTAAATCATGTGTTTGTACTTTAAAAATGTGAGTTGTATTGCTTATTTTGAATTTTTAAAACATTTTAATTTCTACTCTAGACTATAAATATATAATATAATAATGAAAAATTAATTTTAAAAATAAAAACGACTTTCGAATCTAGTTTGATTGATGAGGGTTGATCAAGTTTAAAAGTGATTGAAGCCTATATGAGTCGAGCCTCCCCCATTTCTTGACTCTAATTTTGAGAGGTGGTTCATATTATTATTTCCAGTTTTTGTTGGAGTATAGTATCATTAGACCACATAAAAATAGTTCTTATATAGATAATAAGATGACAATATTCGTCTCATGAGACATGTTATATCATTTAATTTTTTTTAAATGATAAATATTTTTTCAATATTTTTGCATTAATATAACTTATTAATTACTTATCTATTTAGTCACTTATTAATTTTTCTTTAGCACATATATTTTAAAAATTACTATTATATGAATATACTGGAAGACAAAAGGGAGAATAACGATAAAGTCTCTACTGGAAAAAAAAAAAGTCTCAAAATAGAGAATTTATGACATTTAGGTTTCGACAAAATTTTTTGAAATGTAAATTGCAAATATTAATTCATATTTTTGCAAAAACAAGTTCTTAATTATAAATTGAGATCTATATTTATAATTTAAATTATTTATTTATAATTAAAACTTTTGAATTTTCAAATCTCTAAATGAATACTTTTTTTGAATTATAATTTGAATCAATATTTACAATTAGTTTTACAAAAAAAATTGTCGGGGAGCTAATTATCATAAATTCATTGTTTTAAAACTTTAATGTCATTTTCCTTTAAAAAAAAAATATATACCACGGATACATTATAATTAAGCAACGGAATACATAAAATAATACCCTTAAGATCAATCTGGAGAGTCTCTGGTCCTTCCTCAGTGCTCCATTTGCAGTAAGGTTCAAAAAACTCATAGACTCGGTTGCTTGGAGCTCCTGAAGCCTTAGTTTCCATGGGAGATCCAATAATAAAGTTAAGTGAATCTGTCATTATATAGAAATAATGTCACGTTATGTGGATTTGTGAGGAATGAAAGAATTCCTTTGCTTTGCCTCACATTTGGTACAGAATAATTTGCATCATAGGTTAGCTAAGCCCATCTGCTTAAGTTATCCCTTTTGTACTGCTTTCTCTTTACTTTCTCAGAGCACATCTTTTCTTTCAAGTTGATGACTCATCATAATATCACTCTTAAATCTGAAAAAGAAAATCTTTTGAATCATTTTGGTATATTTTTAATTTTTTTAAAAAAATTAAAATATGAAAAAGATTCTATTTTTAAGTCCATTGAGGTCTATAAATAGATTACAAGGTTAGATGGCAAATTAGCCCTTAAATGATTGATCCAGGAGCAGTATTTGTAATTCTAAACTCGTTTTCAGTGCAATGTTTCTTGTCAATTTTTCAAAATAGTACAATATTACTTATAATATTAATAAATTTGAATTTTAGCAGTTAATTGAATAAAAAATTACAACAAAATGCCTCAAAAATTATAGAAAAAGATCTTTTCTAAACTCGTTAATTTTAAACTCATTTTTGATGCAATATTTCTTATCTTTTTTAGTAATTTTTTAAGTCATTGATTGTAATTTTTGGATCTTTTTCTATAATTTTTAAGATCTTTTCAATAATTTTTTAATTAATTAATAAATAAAGTTAACTTTTGTTAATAATAAAGATAGAATTACATCATTTTTAAAAGTTATAACAAAATGCTAGTCTAAGAAACCAATTCTAACTAAGTTGGAATATGTCCTTGTCAATCAAAAAATTTTAAAGATACAAATGTCTAAAGTTTTCTTTTTTTCTTTTTCAAAGACGGTGAACAAGTTGTCTTCAGCAAAAGGGATCATCAAGTGGACTCTTTAAAAATCATGATTAAATTTTAGTAAAAGAAGAAAAGTCTCATTCTGCATCTCTACAATCATATTTAAATTTGAATAAAACTTCCATTCAAATAAAATAGTTGCTTGATACCATTCTTACTGTTGGAAATAAGGGCTGGATTGGATAACTACCCATCTAAATTAGTTTTTATAAAAATTTGAGTTTGCAAAGTTGGCAATCCTTAAGAAAATCGAACATCAAGGCCTAATCATAAATTAACAAGAACAATATTATCTTTACACCCTAACTATAAATTATACACAAGTCTCAAAAGATTTAACTATAATTTATGAATTTTGCAAGATTTATTTGTAAATAAATTTACTATGTGAGACCTGTTCATAGCTTTTCCAATGAAAAGTGTAAAATAGTACAAGGAAAAATATAATAATTGGTTCTTATAGTTTTATTAAATTTTATATTTAGTCCCTATAGTTTTTTTTTTGTGTTTTTATTCTTTATAGGGACTAAAAACACTAAAGTTAATTATAAAGGCATGAGTAACAAATGTCACATAATATTACTGAAATTATAGGAAATAAAAGAATTAAAAAAATACAAAAACTAAAAAAAATTGATAAAATTATATAGATTGATGATTGTATTTTCCCCTAGCACAAATTAGGCATTTTTATGGAGCAAGAACAAGAGAGTGCTCCCTCCATGCTCCTCCACCTCAATACAATAATTTTTTTTAAGAGATTAAGATTTTACTGATTTTTTAAAACCAAGAAATAATCATTAATACTCTGTAATATGTGTTTTGATTTAGAGAAAGATCTCATTAAAATTATTTTTTTTCTATAATTTACATGAAAATTTAATAAAGTTTTGTATGAATGAGAGCTAAATTATTATTCAATTTTTTTGATAAAATTAGAGTTGATAAAAATAAATTAGAGACGACATAACTGAAATTCTGCTTGATTTAACGGGAGGCAAGGTGAGATATTTTAATGGAAGAAAGGAAAATTAAAGTTAGGGAGAATTTCAACTAAGGACTACAGAAGAGGGATATTTATTAGTGTGTCTTAAAAAAAATTTGAAAATTCTCTATAGGTTTTCTGGACTAAACTGAAATAAAGTTGGTAGTTGAAAAGACTGAAATACCCTTTTGCAAAAAAAAAGAAAATGATTAACAAATGATCTTAATAAATTAACAAGTAAAGTTAGAGAATTAATAACTAATGATTCTATATTTTAAATAAAATGATTGAGTTAGTATGATTATTAACAAGTGAAGTGATGCAATTTACAACTGATATTAGTAAATTAACAAGTAAAATTTAGATGAATAATAACTAATAATCCTACATTTCAAACAAAATGATTGAATTAGTATGATTATTGAAAGGTAAGGTAAGTTAATTTATAATTGGTATTAGTAAATTAACAAGTGAGGTAAAAAAAATTACTAATTAATAATAGTGCTTTTTGGTAAAGGATTCACAAGTTATAATTTAAAATACGGTTATAATTTAAATTTTAGAATTTTTTTAGGTAATACACAGCATTTTCTTGCTTCTCATCCATGAACAATAAATAATAATTGGACAACTATAAACAAAATCTTTTTTAAAATTTATATTTTAAATCATGCAATTCTCGCCAGCTATGTTAATATCAAATGCATGGGACACTTTTCCCTTCATTTTAGTGATTTATTTCTTTTTTCATTACTGTACAGTGTAATGTACTATTTTTATTTACCAGTCTTTTCGAAAAAAAACTTTTAATGGTAAAGCCTTGAAGGAGCACTTTAGCGGGGAGACGTAATTTTCCTTTTCTCATTCTGTTACTTTTATAGGAGGGAGGTTGCCTTGGAATAATAAAGGGCCCAAAAAAAAAGTTCTGCATTGTTGAAGGTTATGGGTTTAAGATTTATTTTTATCCCTCAATTTTATTTAAAAGTGTCATCAAGCAGCACAAATTGAACTGTGAATTAATTATGTCTTTCAATGTTAAAAATTTTTTCTTTTATTACCCTGACATTAACTCATCATCTATTTACCTTTAGTGGACTCCCACATTATGTTTTTTTTAATATTTTTATTATAAATATTTGAGTTGAGGATGTCCACTGACCTTTTGAGTAAAAGTTGAGAGGTAAAAATGATATTTAACTCAATAAAAAAAGATAAAAATATTAAAAAAATAATGAAATTCAGTGATGACAACGGATGTCACATTTTTTAATGTTGGTGATGAGAAAGAAAATCTTTAATATTAAAGGATATAATTAATATATAATTGAGTTCAAGATACTTAATGACCTTTTTAGTAAAATTAAAAGGCAAGAATAGCTTTTAATCCAAAGCTACATGCTAGCCTTGCCTTATCATTTAGGCTATACAATTGTTTAAAATATTTGTTATAGTTAACTGTTTATTAGACAAACAGCTTTGATCAACAGATTTGTTATGTGTTTTTTTGTGCCAAGACCTCACTTTGAGCGTATGCAAAAGAAAAACAAGGCAAATTATGTGGAGAGTGCTAGTAAATATACACAATAGCATTTATTCATTCATTTCGTTATTTGTTACAGGACACATTTCAGTATTTCATTGTTTGCTTTCCTTTTCAATCTGCTTCTATACATGTTTTTCAACCCGAGATTGTTCAAGCATCATTTGTTAACTGACTTTGTAGCAATACAAACCATTTATCACTACTTTCATTTTTATTCAAATATAGGACCACCAATCTTAATCATAAACATTGTTCTTATAACAACAATTTCAGAAGTCTATTATATTTTGCTGCCATATTTATGCCGACTTCATTATTCTTAAAGTGAAGGTTGGTGATCCAGCTGTTGTGACTCTTTGTGTTTGTTCTGTTTAGCCTCCCTCCATAAGGTGTTCTGACTGTTGTTTCTGTTTCGGATGAATGGAGCTCTAATTATTTAGGCACCTTGCTTTTGATTTTTTATACGTAGGATGTTTCTGCCATTGGACAATATTGAACAATAGCTTTCAACTCAGAGCAGTACAATCGACTCAAAATCTATCTCAGGAATGATATGCCCATGGTGAACCTGTATAAACCTACAGGTAGCCAAAGGACAAACAAGTAGAATGGGACAAGTCCAGATCTATTGTGCAATTGTTTGCTCTATCACATTTTCTCACCCGCGATTTTTCAGCATCAACACGTGCAAAGTTTGTGAAGGAAGAGAACCTCAAATATGCTTATTTTGTGGCTTCAATTATTTTGAACACCTGTAGCTAGCATGTGGTTGGTTTATGTAGTTGACCACTAAAGTTGTCCTTTCCCATAACAATAAATAAAGGTCAAGGTTAAAACAAATAGTTGATTGGCTTGTTGGTTAAAAAAATGTTGATGAGCTTTCATTTTCAGTTTGCTGGATTCAAGAACCTTTGATATTTTATCCTATCTGAGATTCTGAATAGTTAACAGACCTTTGGAATTCTTCTTATGTTCTGGCTTGGAGTAATTTGGCAGTTAAAGCTTTCAACTTTAAATTGAATTTTTATTGTCAGTATTAATTGAATTGCTGGATGATTATTCTGCATCATACAGTGAAGAACTCATGCTTCTTCTGTGATTATTTTTCTGGGCCTGCTTTGCAGGATGTGAGCAAATGATTAGTTGCAAAACAGATTTTCTCAACAATGGCTGTGTGTCAAACAGGCTGGCGCTGAGTACTGGTGGTGACATATCAGACGGGAGGGCATGTTTGAAATAATTAATGGTGCAATGTCTAGAAATTCTTGTTCAAACTGTTCAGTATTTTTTGTGCTGATATGGATTTAGTATGATTCTAGTATTTTAGTTGCAATGCTGTTTGTTTATATTTGTTTTTTCATTATCTAAGCTTGCGTTCGACCTGTGCATTATAATTGAAGTAACCCCATTGAAGTATTGGTTAATGGTATTTATATAAGATGGAAATTAAATGCACAGATCACAGTACAGTATTAACAGTACTAGTATTTGACGTGCATTAACACATCAAAACGCTTGGTCGCTCATGATTCTGCCGTCAAACAAATACGTGTTGTGCTAATTGCAATGCTTCGTGGCTTCTCATTCATGAGGTGATTAATTAAATATTCATA